TACAAATGTCAGATCTCAATAAACGGAAGAAACGGAACTAAAATTTCAGTCAGTCTCAAATACTTGGCCTCACTTAAGCAGAAAGCCTGAGTGCTATTATCTAAATGAAGTTTGCATCCTCCCCCTCTCATTTAAAAGAAACTATGAAACTAGGGGGACAAGAGAAAAGAGAAGAAAAAGAACAAATAGTCTCTCTAAAGTGCTCCAGCTTTATCTACAGTAATGTGAAATAACAGCAAAACCCCTTTTCCTGGAAACATCTCTTCCTGATAATCATTAACAAATGATCAAATACAAATGTCTTTACTTGCTTCAATTATTGTTTTGAAGGGGAAATTCATTAATTTTTAAAAATACCATCAGTAATATGCATCCAAAGCCATAAATTCTTCAATAAGTTCTTATCCTCAAATTTTCAGGTTATCAAATTAAACTCCATCTGCCACAGAAATAACTTTTCTGGAAGGTACACAACATTTCTATTCTCAGGAAAACTTCAAACCTTACTGTCCCAAAGAACAAATCTTTTCAGTAACTACAAAGAAAAAAATTTCAACATCAGTTGATAAAACATAGAAAAAGTTACAAAAGCATGATTTTAAAAGACACAAGCAAGAATCTCAATTGGATGTGTGAGGAAATTTGACACATCAACTTCACAATTTTTCTCCTTTGCTTTAAGTAAAATCTTTTAGTGGAAAGTATAAATTCACAGCCTCTCGTATTTCACCTTGTGGTAACCAAATGCTAGACCATGCAGTCCTTTCCATGAAAAAAGAACAAAATATATAACAATGTAAACACTGGGGCAATCCACATACCTTCGGGGTAATAATAACACATGCAAAAGGAAACAGTTACACTCTACTTTGTCCTAAACAATGTAACCCACGTTCCTGGAGCATTTCCATTCACACACTCACACACACACTCGCACGCACACTCATAAACACAGGCTCAAAGATGACACAACTTTTATTTTCATTACACACTTAATAAAATGATCAGCCCTGCACGTCTGCAAACCAAATACTGCACACTTGATTCAATGGTCTAGGAAAAGAAAGTGAAAGTACCCTAAGTAAAAACAAATAAGTGAAACTGATTATTCATAACCCCTATGCACTTTGAATGAAAATTGCTTTAAAAATAAAAAAAGGTAGACTTGACTTTGAAAAATTGCAACTCAACAAACACAATACAAACAGCACCAGCTCTAAACCCACCGCTACCCTGCGGGTGGGGTAGGGCGCTAACTAGTTCTCCAGCAGGTTTTTCTTTTCGCGTGCTGCTCCACATGTTCCCCATAACCGAGCAGGGCACCGAGCAGGGCCTCCCCGGGCCCACAAGTGCCCGCCACTACGTTGGTGCGAGCGCGTGTCAAGTCCCGAGACGAGCAAACTTCTGGCCCGCCCGCCCCGCATTTCCCACCCGCAGGCTGCGGCCCCGCTGCCGCCCGGGAGAAAGCGCCGCCGGCGGCACCCAGCGCGGGCCC